GCGTCCACGGTGATGCCTTCGGAACAACAACTATCATGGAGACGATTCCTTGCATGCTCCGGAGTGGAAAAATTTATCATCTGGTGTCAGATAGGAAGGTTCCACAACTTAAATTTCGGATTTTCGAGTCTCCAAAGGCTGAGAAAAGGGTTTCTAAGACTCCTAAAAGGCAAACATAGGATTTTAGGATTGGATTCTCCATCACCCATTCATTCCTTAGCCTAATTATTTTAAAACCCCATAAACGAGACTTAAAATTGATTCAGACTAAGAAATAAATGGGCCTAAAATAACTTACAAGAATTTAGTATGGAACTATATTCGAAAAAAGAGTATGGAAAACTTAGGTTAGAAAATATATATTTGAAAAACTATTTAAATTGCAGAATAGAGATTTTAAAGTTTTTAAAAATCAATAAAAAATATGTAAGTAAAAGTATTAACTAATTGAATCCCACATCAAAAAATGGAAAACATTATTGACAATACTACTTCTATTTAAAAGGATTACCAAAATATGTAAAAGTGTAGGATTACAAACATGCATCATTATTCCAAAACGGTAGATACAAATAAATAAATAAATAAATAAAAGCCATTTTTAACCATTTTTCATTTAGTAATGATACCGAAATGAAGACCTATGGATTGTAAATAAAATAAAAATAAAGAGACAGATGATAATATTCAAGTTGAGACTCAACTTAAAGATACTATAAAAATAAGTTATTGAATCACACTGCAATTTTGTCTAAAGTATCATAATCCTGTTGAGCTGAATTTATAGAATGATTAACATAAAAGAGATCTTCAAAGTTTTCAAAAAAACAAATAGAAAAGAAGCAAGTGAAAGTAATGAGTGAATCTCATTTCATATTAGAAAAAAGAGCAAGATTGACAACGCTTGTTTTATTTAAAAGGGTTATGAAAAAAAATGTAAGTGTAAACATAATTAACTGAATATCGATCCGTTCGACATTTCTTTTAGAGATTGGTTTTAATTTTTTTAAAGAAGCTACAAAAAATTACAATATTGGTAAATCCTGCTTTTATTTAATGGCTTATAAAAACTGTTGTTAAACAGAAGAAGGTTAGAAATCGCTTTTACACAGTAGATTTTGTTCTCATTGTTTAAATTTACTAAGATAATCTTAATAATAAAATTTATTAATAATCTACCTATATTACTTTTTCCATACCAAATTAACAAAATATATGTTTAAAATAGTTATTCAAAAATAAAATTTTTTAATAAGAATACTATGCTAAATTTTACTCAAATATTTTAATAATTATTAAATTATTTAAAAATAACAATAAATAAGAAATTTAGTAGATAAATATATTTTAACCTTGATTTAAAGCAATTTATTTTCAAGAAAAATTTTAGTTAATAAAATTAAAATTTATATTTTTTTATATTATGAATATGACTATAAAAATATAAATGAAACTAACTTTATATATGTGTGCTTAAGTGTGTTTATTTTTATCATTATACATATTTTCAATAATTATATATACTATTTATTAAATAAATTTTTAATTCTAATATTGACAACAATTTTATAAAAAAAAATATATCAAACATCTATATATTTTTTGTCGCAACAACTTTTTACTAAGTAAAAGTTTTCAAAAATACAATAATGCCAAACTGGCTCGTACATCACATAGAAAATATTTTTCTATTTATTTGTCTTCTATTTAAAATTCCTCTTTACAATTTTGTCTATTTCCCTCACTCATGTTAGGCTGGCTCATGTTAAGCTGACTCTGAGAATAATCATTAGTTAAAAATTCTTGGAAAACCCAACAATATAGGCTCAAAAGTGAAATTTGAATCTTCCTTTGCAAATCCTACCAAAAACAAAAAAAAAAAAAAGAAAATTCTTAAGGCTCATTTGGGGTAATTTGTATTTATGCTTTTAAGTAGTAAAAGAAGATAAACATAAATTTAAACTTTTTAATTAGTATTTGGATAGTGTCCGAAAAAATACTTTTATATTTAAAAAGAGTTTTTGAACCTGTTTGAGTAAAAAAGTCAAAATTACTTATTTTTATAAAAAGTAATGTAATAAAATGATATTTATGAGATATTTAATTTATTGTTCATAAATAAAAGGTTAAAAATATAAATAAAAAAGTTTTTCATAAGTACTAAGGAGATTTCTTGTTCTAGAAGTGCTTATAAAAAGTCAATAGTACTTTAAGATTGTCCATTCAAATAGGTCCAAAAACGGCTTTTGGACTAAATAAGCCAAAAACAGCTTATTTCAAGCCAATCTAAAAAGGGCCTTAAAATAAGTATTTTATTGCTTAGAGAAAATTACACTGAGAATTTTAAATTTTTGGGCTTTTGTAAAAAATTCGACGAATATGATTACATAAAATATAAGGGAAAAATTTCATATTAGCACCATGTATTTTAACCTAACCGTCTTTGGGTACTATGTGTTTTCAACAATTTTGAATTACTACTTTGACGTTTTGATAAAAAAGTTTTTTAGTACTTTAAGATCATTTTTTTAGAATGTAAAATCTCAAATTTACCATTTTCATAATTAACCAAAAAACTAATAAATTTAAAAAATACTGAAAATAATTTTTAACATTTAAAACTTAAAAAAATAAAAACTTAAAATAAACACATCTCTCTCCAAATAGTATTTTCTCTCTCAAAAAGATAAATTTGACATTTTACATCCAAAAAATAGTCCGAGGGTGTTAAAAATGATTAATCAAAATGTCATTTACAAATTTAACATTATTAAAAATACAGATTATCAAAAGACAATTACGCTAAAACACAAGATAACAATATGAAATTTTCTCAAATATAAAATTCTCTTTTAATTTGGGGCTATTGTGGAGCTGGGTGGGTGCAGGGTTTTCAAACGAAATCTTAACATAATTTGTTCGAAGAGAAGGAGAATGGGAAGATTATTTGATGTGCACATTGTGAATTATGATTTGAATTGATAATCTATTTGATTTTGTGTTTGCGTTGGTCAAAATTTGAATTTATATTTAGATGGTATTTTAATAAAAACTCAATAGTTATGAAAAATTTTAATAGGGTATATGAGTAGGATTTTATTCGTTTTTTCGTTGAGAACACATAGAAAAAAGTCATCTCCATTGGAATCAAAACGAAAAAGTTATGACGTTTTTAAGAATAAAAAATATTGTTCATTAACTTGAGTTTGAGTTTAAAAACTTTAGTTAAATGGGGAACTTGAACTCAGATTTTAGCCCCAAATTGAAGTTAAAACTCAAGTTTAAATTTAAATTTTACAAAAAAATATGAACTTAAATAAAATTTTAACTTGAGCTCAAACTTTTTTTAAGTTAGTACAAGTGAACGAGTGCTAAATTTTTTTTTGGGATGACGTTAATGGTTCTGTTGATTGACTAGTTATCCTCAAACTTTCAATTCTACGATTAAGTTCTTCAATTAGTAGTCAAATTGATAATCGATGATTTTTTTTTAACCGAAAATTCATGTGTTTGCACATGATCTAAAATCTAAGAAAGGATACACAAGAAAAACGAGGAGTACTTGAAAGAAAAAAAAAAAAAAAAGCTTTCTTATCCATCTAAACACGCATGGAATATTCAAGTTCACAAGTAACTTGCTAACTAACAAAAAGTTTATGGTATATTTATTTTATTTTAAGATTATTGTCTTTGGTGTCAAATGAATTTTAAAATTATTTTCAGTTTATCTCTTAAATTTTAAAAACTCTTACTTTATCTTATGAATTTTAAATTATTCTAATTTAACCTCTTTTATTGTAATTTATATTAAAAACTGATTGAAAAAAGTGAGTAATGTAATCACGTGGTATTTCTGTTAGAAACAAACATATAAGAACCACATGGCAACACTTAATCTCTTTTTTTGGTCTTATTTTAACACAAATTGCAACAGAAGGGATTAGTAAGAGCAATTCAAAGTTCAAAGGTAAAATGAGAGTTTTTAAAGTTTATAGAAAAAATTGGGAATAACCCTAAAATTCAGGGACACTAATAATAATAATCCCTTATTTTAATAAAAATCTTGTGATAATTTCGTTTTATAATCAAAGTTACTGAACACCGTTAAGTTGCAGGCATAATCTACAAGTACTTTCACACCTAATTCACTGTAAGGTAACAAGTTCAAATCTCCTATGCCCAAGTTATAAAAAAAAAATGTTAAGTTTATGGTGTATCAATACAATGAACTCTCTCTTTTTTTGGGTTAAATTCATAAATAATCCTTGAAGTTTATCTGCAATCTCATTTTTGTCCTCAACTTTTAAAACATCTCAAAGTTAGTCTTTAAAATTTTATTTTGTTTTAATTTTGATTCTTTTATTAGTTAGGTGTTAAATATTTGATAAAATCTATGTAAAGTAAGGATCAAAATTAGAAATATCTACAATTTAGGGCCTAAAATAATGCAAAAAACGGAAGTTAATTTCATCATATATTTTGGTCGCACAATCTCTAATTTTAACTGTTCCAATTTTGGTTACTAATTTGCACATATTATAGTAAATAGAAAGACCAAAACTAAGACATAATAAAATCTTAAAAATTAATTGTGAAATATTTTAAAAATTAAGGCCCCGTTTACTTCACCAATTTGAGTTTAGAATTCAAGTTTTGCTACAGTAAAAAGTTCTCACAAACAATCACATTTAACTTTTTTACTACAGTAAAAAACTCTCACATAAAATTACATCTTAACTTGAATTACAAACTCAAATCAACGAAGTTAACGGACAAAGTGAGATTGAAGATAAATCGCTGGGACTATTTTAATTCTTTTTTTTCCCTCTCTGGCGGTCTCCATCCTATAAGACACAAGGAGTGGGTCCCGTCAGAAGCGAGTCTCAATCTGCCATGTCAGCACAACTGGACACAATTTATGACGTGGCAATAGCAAGTACGGCTACATGTGATTTTCTGGAAGCGCGAAGTAGGGTATAATCAATCCCTTCGCTGCCAAAAAGCCAAAACAAACCACAAGAGGGAGAAGAAGAAGAAGAAGAAGAAGAAGAAGAAGATAATGGAATCTTCAGGAGAATGGTTAGAGAAAGCGTTGGGCGATCTGTGCCAGAAGATGGAAACCGGTTTGGCTCTCGACACCGACATGATTTCCGGCTTAGTCTCCTACTGCGAGCTCGCTCACCCTCAGGACGCCAAAGAGTATCTCGACGTAAAGAAGTTTCTCTCTCTTTAAGATTCTCTCTCTAGAAATTAGAGCTGAACTGATCGGTCTTAATTTGAAACGAAAACGAAAAAAAAAAAAAAAAGAATCAGAGAACACTGATAATAATTCCCGATTTCTTTGAAAGTTTTTTACTGGATGATTGTTTTATTCTAATTCAATGCGGACGAAGTTGCACAATTGTGTAGTGAAAGAATTAAACTTTATGATTTCGATTTAAAGTTTTTTTATTTAACTTAGAGTTCCTCTTGTTCGTAGTGTGACTTTTAGTTTCTTTAATTGATTTTTGTTGTTGGTTGGTGCTTGTTGCTGATGATATTTGGACAAACGCAATTAGTGGCAAGCAATTAATGGCTAAAACTTTGCTTTATGAGATAAAGTATTATAATAAGAACCAATTTGTATTGGGTTTATTTATCTTAATTAAGGAATATTTCATCGATTTGTGGGTATGATAGTGTTTTGATTAGCCTAAGATATGAGTAGGAACACATGATGTTTTGCTGGTGATGGCACTGGACTCGAATGAAACTTTTCAGCTGTCCACGCTTAAGTTTTGAACTGATTCCTGAGCACTCCTTTTTTTTTTTTTTTTTTTTTTTTTTTTTTTTTTTTTTTTTTTACAAATCAGGACATGGAGAAGATGTGGTCTTTTTTATTGATAATTGATGTAATAGAACTTACTGAACATATTGGCCTTCGAGGCTTCAACATACTTTCTCATTTGAAATTTTGCACTCTGCCTTTCGGTTTCCTTTATGTTATCATTTATTTTTTCCTATTTTCTTGCAAAATATATCATAGCTTCAGCACATCTCTATTCTTGTTTTCATCTGCAGAATATTATAGGGCAGGAGGCCGGCAGAACTGTAATTGAGGAATATTTACGGCGAAGAGGTCACTCGTATCCCTACAGCAATAGCCAAGACGTTCCAACGTCGCAATTGCAGGCATATGTCAAGCCACCCTCCGACGTAGGTTCTGTTAGCGGAACAAAAAAACATATGAGAACCCCAAAAGTCGTTACAGCTCCCAATTATCAGACAGAAGCAAAAAAGAATGCAACTTTGACTAATCGGAGTAATCAGGTTTTGGCTGAGATGAGCGAGTCAAAAAGCGTGCATAAAGGGAACCAAGGCAGTGCTAATAACAAAAAGAAGAAAGCTGGGAAAGTTGTATCACTTGCAGAGGCTGCGAAAGGATCAATTGTTTTCCAAGAGGGAAAGCCATGCTCTTGCCAAGCCCGACAACATAGATTGGTAAGCAATTGCTTATCTTGTGGCAAGATAGTATGTGAACAAGAGGGAGAGGGCCCTTGCAATTTCTGCGGCGCTCTTGTGCTGAAGGAAGGGAGCAGCTATGCTGGTCTGGATGAAAGCCTGTCTGCCCTAACAGATGCTGAAGCAGCCGCTGAAGCTTATGCGAAGAGACTCGTTGATTATGACCGAAATTCTGCAGCTCGTACTACAGTTATTGATGACCAGAGTGATTACTATGAGATCGAGGGAAATAGTTGGCTGTCGATGGAGGTAAATCAAACTGTGCTTCCATAATTGTATTTTGTGTATGCATGTAATATGGTTATAACTTGTAATTCCCCTCCTTCCATTCCAGGAAAAGGAACTGCTGAGGAAGAAACGAGAGGAGCTTGAAGAAGCAGAGAAGGCAAAGCGAAGTAGAGTAGTTGTGGCTTTTGACTTGGTCGGCCGCAAGGTTTTAAATCTTTTCTAGACGATCCTCCTCTATGGGTTTTAATTTAATTGCAGCAATGGTTCAGTCTCGATTTTTATTTTTTTAATACATATGAATCATAGTCTCGATTATTTATACTATTCTATTTGTGCTTGAATATCTCACACGAAAATTGTTCATGTATGCTTCAAAGACATATTTTGGCCTTTTGTCCCACAACCATAGGGGAGAAGATACCAATAAACAGATTAACACCCAGGTTTAAACACATGAAGAAAACCTGATAAGCCTCCTTTGCGTTTTACCTATGTGCGGAGGAGAGTTCGTGAGAAGAATGCGGCAGGAGCAGGGGAAGGCAGTGGAGATGCAGCTCAGGGAGGTATTTCTTAGAAGAGTGATGAGCTGGCAAGTCAAGGGGGAGGATGTGATGGGGATAGCTAGTAGTTAGTTGGTTGTGGGAAATAGTTAGTAGGAAGAGGAATAGTATAAATAGTCTAGAAAGGCATGAGAAGGGATTCATTCGATCATTCTTAGAACTTCTTAGACAAGTTTGGTTAGGGAGTGCAAGGGGTCACTCGAACACCCTCATATCCAAACCTGTGATTCTGTAATTCCGCCATTAATAACAGTGATCAAGCTTGTGACCTAGCTTGTTTGTGCATAAATCTTGCGTAGCCTTTCTCTAAACTGTTCTTCGTATTCTTTACGAGTTTATCAATTGGTATCAGAGCATGCCCCACCTCAGGCCCACGTTGTGGAAGGGGCGACCTGAAAAGGCCAGAGTGGGCCGCCGTGGACGTCGGTGTCGTAAGCGTGGTGGTATGTTAGGATTCTGGTTGAGTCCCACATTGCTAAAGTATGGGCTTAGCATATGGGTTTATAACCACTTGGACACCCTCGGATTTACATCGCCAAAGACCATGAAACTTAAGGGAATACTACGTGGAAATGAGGTAATAGTTTTGATTGATAGTGGAGCTACATACAATTTCATTTCTGTTGAATTGGTGGGGAAATTGGAGTTGCCGGTGGACCGAACGTGTGATTATGGGGACTAGAATGTCTGTTAAGGGCGAAGGAGTATGCAGGGGTGTCGTGGTCACTTTGTAGGAGATAGAAGTTGTGGAGGATTTTTTGCCTCTTGAGTTAGGAAGTTCATATATGATTTTGGGCATTCAGTGGCTGGAGACTCTTGTTGTAATGACGGTGAATTGGAAGAATTTGACCATGAAATTCACTATGGGAAACCGTCAAGTGTCTTTGAAAGGGGACCCCGGATTAAATAGGTCTTCAGTGTCTTTAAAGGCCTTACAGCGAGCGTTTAGTCAAGAGGGACAAGGGTTGTGGCTTGAATTGAACAACATGGGGTTGAGTACTCAGGAAAGCAATAGGAAGGTACCCGAGGAGTTGGTTGAGGTGTTTCACTGTAGAGTTTCGGTGTTTGAGATGCCTACAGAATTGCCGCCGGAACGTGCGAAGGACCATGCGATAGTACTAAAGGCGGGAACTTCCCCGATTAATGTACGACCTTACCGATATCCACAGGTCCAGAAGGAAGAAATTGAGAAGTTGGTCGGCGAAATGTTAGCAGCAGGGATTATTCGGGCTAGGGTGAAGCAGGAATTATTCGGGCTAGTGTGAGTCCATATTCCAGTCCCGTTCTTTTGGTTAAGAAAAAGGATGGAAGTTGGCGTCTTTGTGTGGACTACCGGGCTTTAAACAACGAGACAGTGACGGTTTCCCTATTCCGATTATTAATGAACTCCTCGATGAGCTTCACGGGGCTGCAATTTTTTCCAATATTGATCTTAAATCGGGATATCACCATATTCGAGTCAAACCGGAGGACGTGCCCAAAATGGCTTTTTGCACACATGAGGGACATTACGAGTTTTTGGTGATGCCATTTGGGCTTACAAATGCTCCAACAACTTTCCAGTGACTCATAAATGAGGTATTGTGAGCTTTCCTCCGTAAGTTTGTCTTAGTTTTCTTCGATGACATACTTGTTTACAGTCGGACCTTAGAGGACCATGTTCACCACTTAGATCAAGTGTTAGTGGTTTTACAACAGCACAATCTTTTTGCGAATGCGAAGAAATGTAGTTTTGGACAGCAATCTTTGGAGTATTTAGGACACATTGTCTCGGGCAAAGGCGTGTCTGCGGATCCGGCCAAGATAGACACAATGCTGAATTGGCCTACCCCGACCACCGTGCGTGACTTGCGGGGATTTTTGGGATTGACGGGGTACTACCGGAAGTTTGTCGCGGGGTACAGCCACATCGCAGGGCCTTTAACAAATTTACTTCGGAAGGATGGGTTCCAGTGGACTGCAGAAGCTTATCAGGCCTTTTCTTGTTTGAAATGCACCATGACCTCCGTTCCGGTTTTGGCTCTTCCTAATTTCACAAAACTGTTTGTGCTTGAAATTGATGCCTCTGGGTTTGGTGTGGGTGTAGTGTTGATGCAGAACCAGCGACCCATTGCGTACTTTAGCCAAGCTTTGTCTCCGCGGGCTCAAGGTAAATTGGTTTATGAGAGGGAATTGATGGCCATTGTTTTGGTAGTTCAAAAGTGGCGGCCATATTTGCTTGGCCGACATTTTGTGATTCGCACTAACCAACGTAGCCTTAAGTATTTGCTGGAACAACGCCTTGTGAGTATGGAGCACCAAAAGTGGCTCGCTAAGTTGATGGGATATGATTTTGAGATTCAATACAAACCTAGACAGGAAAATCGCGCCGCGGATGCTCTTTCTCGTATTGTCTACTCTCCGGGGTTGAGTGCCCTGTTGGTCTCTTCCATTGTCAACACACAAGAGCTACAGCAACAGGTGTTGCAAGATGAGAAACTCGGCCAGATTACTTCAGCATTACAGCTCTAGTCCGAGGCCTATCCTGGATTCTCCCTAGTGCAGGGACGATTGTTGTATAATGGCAGAATTGTAGTGCCTAGGGGTTCGCCTTTCATTCCTAAACTGCTTCACTCTTACCATGACGGGGTTCTAGGAGGCCATTCGGGTGCCGTTAAGACATACTAACGCCTGGCAGCGGATTGGTTTTGGTGGGGCATGAAGAAGGATGTGACCTTGTATGTGGCCGCATGTGACGTTTGCCAGCGTTGCAAAGCTTCCACATTAGCCCCTAGTGGCCTGTTACAGCCTTTGCCCATTCCCGAACGAGTGTGGGATGATATTTCAATGGATTTTTTTGAGGGGTTGCCCCGTTCAGAGGGATTCGACACTATTTTGGTGGTTGTCGATAGGCTTAGCAAGTATGGTCACTTCATTGCCTTAAGCATCATTTCTCGGCTGAAACGGTAGCTAAGTGTTTCATACGTTCGCCTCCATGGTGTTCCGCGTACAATCGTGACCAACAGTGATCGTATATTCCTCAATCATTTTTGGACAGAACTTCACAAGCAGATGGGAACTACCCTCACGCGCAGCACCGCTTATCACCCACAATTTGATGGTCAAACAGAAGTGGTTAATCGGTGTGTCGAAACCTATTTGCGTTGTTTCACATCAGATAAACTAGGGCAATGGCACAAGTGGTTAGTCTGGTCTAAATATTGGTATAATACCTCGTTTCATACCGCAGCACGCACTACTCCTTTTCAGGTGGTCTATGGCCGTGCTCCACCTCCTTTGTTGCGCTATGGCCTCAGAACGTCCGCGATGGATTCGGTGGATCAACAATTGCAGGACTGAGATGCCATGTTGGACTTACTTAAGTTTCACTTGCTTAGGGCTCAGCAGTGAATGAAATCGGTGGCTGCTGGTAAACGCCGAGATGTGCAGTATGAGGTTGGTGACTTAGTGTACCTTAAGTTGTGTCCCTACCGTTAGGTGTCTTTAGCCCGATGCCGCAATGAGAAGTTAAGTCCACGTTTCTATGGCCTTTTTGCTATCACTACCTGAGTTGGTCCTGTAGCGTATCGTCTTTGCCTGCCGGAGGAGGCCGCCATTCACCCGGTATTTCACGTTTCTAAGCTGCGCCGCACTGTTGGCCATGGCCAGGCTGTGTCTACGATTCCACCACAGTTGACAGGTGATTTGGAATCGCGTGTCACACCAGAGGCTTTATTGGGCGTGCGCCAACGCGTGACAAGGGGACATTCTGACTCTGAGGTTTTAATTCGTTGGGAACATCTTCCGGCACATGATGTGACTTGGGAGCCCTATGAGGCCATCGATCGCCAGTTTTCTCATTTCCACCTTGAGGACAAGGTGCGTCTTTGGGGTGCAGGTAATGATAAGCCTCCTTTGCGTTTTACCTATGTGCGGAGGAGAGTTCGTGAGAAGTGCGGCAGGAGCAGGGGAAGGCAGTGGAGATGTAGCTCAGGGAGGCATTTCTTAGAAGAGTGATGAGCTGGCAAGTCAAGGGGGAGGATGTGATGGGGATAGCTAGTAGTTAGTTGGTTAGGCCGTGGTTGTTAAGTGGGAAATAGTTAGTAGGAAGAGGAATAGTATAAATAGTCTAGAAAAGCATGAGAAGGGATTCATTCGATCATTCTCAGAACTTCTTAGACAAGTTTGGTTAAGAAGTGCAAGGGGTCACTCAAACACCTCCATATCCAAACCTGTGATTCTGTAATTCCGCCATTAATAACAGTGATCAAGCTTGTGACCTAGCTTGTTTGTGCATAAATCTTGCGTAGCCTTTCTCTAAACTGTTCTTTGTATTCTTTATCGAGTTTATCAAAACCGTAGTGTCCCCTCTCTGCATTCATTGAAATGAAAGATTTTCTCTTCTCATAATTCATTTTTCTTGTAATATATATATATATATATATTTCTTTTAAATCTTTGGTCGAGCTGCAACAACGAGCTACTCAATTATAGTATTAGTGAACAAAGTTGCTTATAGATGCTTAAAAATGCTGCTCACCTTTACACTTCTGTTCCTTTCACCGTTTCACGTTGCTCACTGCAGCTTCTCTTGGAGGGTTTCTTTTTTTTTTTCCATTTTAACCTGTAGGTGTCTTGCAGGTCCTTGTAAATAAAGATGAAGTTGAGGAACTGGAATCGGAGAACAGCATATTGAGGGCACCGGACGAAAGAGAACTGAATCGAATTAAGCCAAATCCAACTCTTAAAATTCAACCAATATTCATGGATCCAGGCCCCATTAAGAACCCTGCTAAAAGTAGACAGCCAAATAAGAGCTTTCCAAATGGTATGTGCTTAGAGATAACTGGAAAGGTACAGCATGAGAGTAACGACCTGAAATACTTGATGATGAACAACAATTTGGAGACAGATTCAAATGGTAACCATTGGCAAGGGCCATCCTCAAGCAGTAGTGTCGTTCTTAATGATGACCGCGAGTGTTCTCTCGATTATAACTAAGACAAAATATTGAGCTTACTATGAGTTCCGGTGACTGTTTCCATTCTCCGACTAACGGCGAGGGAGGTTTTTGCTGTGTTGCTTTTAAAAGAGAAAAATCAAAAGGGATACAGGCAGTATTTTACAGATTTTAATTTATTTTCGTGTATTCTATGTTAAAGTAGGGAACACTGGCCCATTTGCAAAGACAATGAATTGATAAAGGGAAGCATGGTTGACGATTTCAGTTTATGAAAGTCAGAAGATTTGGGATTGTTCTTGTGTAACACATACTTTGGTCTAGGCCATAACATATTTTGAAAGCATAAATCAAATCATTTACTTAGATCAGCATTAACCCGTACACAACCAGTCAATTTACATAACTATTTTTCACTCATAACAAAAAATAAAATAATAAATATAAAATATAAAATAAAATAAAATAAACTAACTATTTTTCACCTTTCACCATCTTTGGAGTTTTTTTTTTTTTTTTTGAAATTCCTATAGTTTGATTCTTTCCCACATAATCACTTAATTTGCTGTCTACATCCTATTGAATATTACGAAATTTTCTTGAATGTGATAGGCAGTACGATATGTAAAGCATTAATGAGGTCCAATTTGAGACCAATAGCCTAAACAGAAAATTGGTTCATAGCTTCAAGACCAATATGACTCTTCTTTTCACTGTGAAAATCAGGTGTATTTGAGACCAATAGCTAACTGAATGAATTGAACAACACTTAAAATTCCTCAATTCTGTTGCCCACTTTGCATTCGCATCCGTAATAGCATCACTTAAGTACAAGCTCAACACCTCGGACTTTCATTCCGAAAAATTGGAAATCGAGCTTTTACCAGCAATTTTTGTAGCTTTGCATGCGGCCATGAAGCTTCTTTCGTTTAAAACATCACCCCACCTTCCTGTTTCAGCATAAAAGTTGGAAGAAACAACATGATTTTCAGCACTATATAATGCCTTTCGTTCTGTTAGCTCACCGATTAAGTTCGATCCCATATCGTAATTACTGTGAACTTTACAAGCACTGACTAGCATCCTCCAAATAACCGAATTTGGCTCGACAGGCATACTCTTTACAAGCTTGTGAGCCTCTTCTAGCCTCCCAGATCGTGCATGCATATCAACAACACATCCATAGTGCTCGATTCTCGGCCAAATATGGTAAAAATTACACATAGTATCATAAAACCTTTTACCTTCCTCAACCAAGCCAGCATGATCACACGCAGAGAGAAGGCCAAGAAATGTAATGGAGTTTGGCTCTACTTTCTCAGCTTCCATTCTCCTGAAAGCAACAAGCGCTTCCTCCCCTTGGCCATTGACTGCGTGACCTACTATAATTGAGGTCCATGAAACAACATCCTTTTTAGGCATCTTATCAAACACAACCTTAGCCTGTGTCATGTCACCACATTTTGCATACATATCAATAAGAGCATTGTGTAATATGCCACTCTGATTGAGATGACTACAGGATTCGATGTAAGAATGAATGTCAACGCCATGATTCAATTCCCCGGAGTTGCGGCAAGCTAAGATTAGTCCTAGCATTGTCACTTCATCCGGTTTTAAATTTCTCGATTTTATTTGACTGAAGAGCTCTAAAGCCTCATTATCATGCCCACATCCAACATATGCGTGAATCATAGAATTCCAAGACACAATATGTCCATCATCTATTTCAGTAAAAATCTTTCTAGCAGAGTCTATGGAACCACATTTTGCATAGATGTTAATCAGCGCGGTCCCAATTTGTAGAGTGATCTCTATTCCAATAGCTTTTATAAAACCATGAGCCATCTTTACCATATGAAGATCTACATCACTACTCGCAGCCAAAATCAAACTAATCAAGGATACTCTGTCAAACCCCACATCCCTTGCTCTCATTTCTTTAAACAAAGAGAAAGCTCCCGCGCAGTTCCCATTCAAAGCGCAGCTAGAAATCATAGTGTTCCACGAAACCAAATCTCTTTCGGCCATTTCATCAAACAACACCGACGACTCATCCATACACGCAAACTTTGAATACAAATCAATGAGTGCATTACACACCTCAACCGCAAAACCCAACCCCGTCTTACAACAGTAACAATGGAGAGACTTTCCAACACCAAATCTTCCAACCTCAACACACCCAGAAACCAAAACAACCAAAGTAACATAATTCGGCTTCACTGCCCCTCCGAAAACCCCCGCCAAAGCTCGCTTAAACAAACCCAAACCATCATCAAACAACTTATTCTTCACCAACCCGGAAACCATAGAATTAACCGTAACAACACTCTTATCAGACATTCCATCAAACAGAACGCGTGCATACCCAATCAAAAACCTGGAACACGAATACAAACTTATCAAACTGTTCACCAGATTGACATTCCAATCCAATCCAATTCTCAAAACCCGACAATGCACCGACTTCCCTTCTCGCAAAGCCGACAACCTGGCACAACCTTTGAGCAAAGAAGCGTAAACAAAAGGGTCATTTGGGATTACTCTTTGGACGGCGCTGAACAAGGAGAAGACCTTTAAAGGGTCGGCGCGTAAGCCGAGTCCGCGGAGCATGAGGGGCCATGTGAGGCGGTTGGGCGCTTTGGTGCGGGCGAAAGTGAAAATGGGAGCTGCGAGGTGGAGAGTGGAAGGAGTTGAGAGAGAGAGATTGAGGAGAGAGAGAATGCATGAGGGGTCGGAGGAGAGGAGGCCGGTGGTGGTGAGCTGAGCTTGGATTTGGAGGACGGAAGAAATGGTGGGTTTTTGGTGGTGGTGAAGAAGAAGAAGAAGAAGACTGGTTAGTTTTTGGAGGTGAGAGGAGGGACGAAGATTCATCAAGTTGGAAAAATGGCGGGTTTTGGTCATTTGATTTGTTAAAACTGAGTGGGAGAGTGAATTCAGCTCTATTAACAGGTTTTGTTTCCATAATTACGAAATGGGGATGGCCGAGTTGGTCTAAGGCGCCAGTTTAAGGTTTGGTCGCGTGGGTTTAAATCCCACTCTCCACATAAGGATTTTTTTTTTATTATTGAGATAATTGCATGATTAGTCCTAAACTCAGTATTTATTATAAATAATTGTTATTTTTGTTATGAATAGTAACTGTTCACCTAGGTTAAAATTATTATGCAAGTCAGTCAAAATTACTGTTCATGTCAGAATCTTACTGTGTAAATAATAACCGTAAATAGTTAGTACTATGCAAATCATAACCGTGAATAGTGCCAAAATTTTTTCAATAAATAAAGCTCTAAGACTCTTCTTTTTATATACATTTACAAGATTAATGAAACTCTCTCTCTCTTTCTCTCTAAAGTTTTTTTTCTTAGTTTTGCATTTTTTTAGTTTTTATAACACGTTATCAGCACGAACGTTCTATTCCTACTACGATTGTCTACATTCATTAATTCAAATAAAGGTGGCTCTCATCCAATTATAAGCATATAATTTAAAGTCAAAAGAAAGTGGTCCTAGGCCTAGCCAATATACTCTATTATTTTAAATTCATACAAAGGAGGACTATGCCACCAACGTATTATAATTTTTATAATTTTATTGTTATACACCCTTCGAAAGATTTACCGAGTAGTTTGGCATGTTTGTATTCTCATAAATGGACGGTTATGCCGCCTGCAGCTGCAGCTGCAGGTAATAATTTCTCATTGCACTTTTTGCATGCATATTACTATTCTCATCTGTTTATTTTTCTACATCATTTGAGGTATACAATTGTAATTTTTTTCCACTTATAACGGTAATATAACAGACTTTTACACTAAACTTGAGTTCGTTGCACTCGACATCACGAGAAAGAATTATTTGTCTTAGATCATAGACGTAGAAATGCATCTAGTCAATGGGTATAATCGATACCATTAAAGAAAATAATAACAAGTTACCACAAGAAAAAGTGAAAGCAATGATTTTCTTTCGTAAACATCTTGATGAAGGCTTGAAATGCGAATATCTCACGGTTAAAGATTCACTTGTCCTTTGGAAAAGTCTGAAGGAGAGATACGACCACTAGAAAGAAGTTGTACTTCCCGCCACTCGCGATGAGTAGAACAATTTACGTTTTTAGGATTTTAAGAAAGTCAACGACTACAACTCTGCCATGTTTAGAATTATTTCGCTACAGAAATTTTGTGGAGTAAATATCACAGATAGTGAAATGCTAGAGAAAACCTACTCCACTTTTCATGCATCTCATATTACCTTGCAACAACAATCTTCTGAGCTTATCTCAGCTCTTCTTGTGGCAGAGAAAAATAATGAATTGTTGATTAAAGATCATCAGGCTCGCCCTACTAGTTCAACAGCATTTCCCAAAGCAAATGATACATTCTCTAAAAATCTGGGACGAGGGTAAAATTGTGGTCGTGGACATGGTTGAGGCCGTAGTCTAGGACGTGGTAGAAGTGGTTATTACAACCATTCACAAAATGACATGATCCAGAAGAAGCGTCATGACAAAAGAAAAGATGCTGATGCAAGTTGTTCCTAGAATTCTGAAAAAACTTGTTATATATGCGGTACTAAAGAACATTGGTCTAGAATTTGTCGAACACCGGAACATCTTTGAAAACTTTACAAGGCATCCTTGAAGGAGAAAGAAAAGGAAGTAAATTTTAATAAACACCACGATCCTATAAATGACTCAACCCATCTTGATGTCTCAGACTTCACATATGACTTTACATATAAGGTTATTGGTGCTAACTAGATAGATATATTATGCTCTTATGTATTTGCATTGCATTTTGTTTTTGTATTAGATCTGTTTTATGTATGTTGTACTTTTTTACATAAAATCCTATGTTATGTATTTTCTTAAAACTCATGATTTTTTTATGATATTATTATTATTTTTGTGTGAAGCTTATTATGGATGGAGTAAGTTCAAAGTTAATAACGGGGATATCTATATTCCAGATAGTGGTACAACGCACATTATCCTAAAATCTGAAAAGTATTTCTCTTGTTTAAAACAAGTAAAGACAATAATCAATACAATATCAGGTCTTGTAGATCTGGTTGAGGGGACTGGTACAAGTTTTGTATTGCCAAATGGAACAAAATTTTTTATAAATGATGCTTTACTTCCACCAGAGTCCAAAAGAAATTTGTTGAGTTTCAAAGACATATATCTTCATGGATATGATACACAATCTGAAACTAAAGGGAATGAGAAATACATGTATTTAACTACTAACGTATGAGAAAAAAAGTACATATTAGAAAAACTTTTAAACTCTCGTCGGGATTACATTACACATATATAAATGTGATAGAGACACACATGGTAGTTAAAAAAGATCCCTAAATATTAACCCTATGACATGACTGTTTGGGTCTAGTTCAATAATGATGCGAAGAATCATGAAAAGTTCACATGGAGATTCATTAAAAGGTCAGCAGATCTTTCAAATGAATAAAGTTATATGTGAAGCTTGTTCTCTTGGTAAATTGATTACAAGGCCTTCACCAGCCAAAATTGAAAATGAATCACGTACATTTCTTGAACGTATTCAAGGTGATATATGTGGGCTTATACACCCATTGCACAAACCATGCCGATACTTTATGGTATTAATAGATGCATCCAGTAAATGGTCACATGTTTGCTTATTATCAACTCGGAATGTGGCATTTGTGAGATTTCTTACTCAGATTATTAAATTACGAGCACAATTTCATGACTATACAATTAAGAAAGTTAGACTTGATAATGCTAGTGAATTCACATCTTAAGCATTAATGATTATTGTATGTCCATTGGAATTATTGTCGAACATCTTATTGCTCACGTGCATACACAAAATGGTTTGGCTGAATCATTGATTAAACGCATCCAGCTTATTGCTAGACCATTAATAATGAGAACAAAGCTACCTATTTCTATATGGGGTCATGCAATTTTACATGTTGCGGCATTAATTCACATCAGACCAATTAGCTATAATAAGTACTCCCCTTTACAACTGCATTTGGTCAAGAACCAAATATCACTCATCTAACAATTTTTGGTTGTGCGGTATATGTACCAATTGCTCCACCACAAAGCACAAAGATGGATCCTCAAATAAGACTGGGAATATACGTTGGGTATGAATCAACTTCTATAATAAGATATCTTGAGCCTCAAATTGGTGATGTTTTTGCGGCACGTTTTGCCGATTGTCATTTTAATGAGGTAGTCTTCCCAGCATTATGGGGAGAAAATAAACAGTTGGAAAAAGAAATTACATGGTGTGAACCATGATTGTTGTATCTTGATCCTTAAACAAAGCAATGTGAACTAGAAGTGCAAAAGATTATGCACTTACAAAACTTAGCAAATCAATTACCAGATACGTTCACTAATACAAAAATGGTGACTAAATCATACGTACCAGCTGCAAATGCTCCAGCTCAGATTGAAATTCTAAAAGGACAATCTGATAATGAAGTCATTAATATATATAAAACACGCCTCAAGCGTGGTAGACCTATCAGTTCTAAAGACAAAAATCCTCAAAAAAGAAAGGGAGCAAATGAGCATAATGACCCCGATTTGGAGGAAAGTGTTTCAGGAGAAACACAAAATAATACAAACAAAGAGATTCTCAATATCGTAAAAAATTCTGAAGGTTTTGAGAATAGTGAGATCTCTATTGACTATATCAATACAGGAGCATTATGAAATCGAAATGAAATTGAAAATATTGATGAAATAATTTCTCTCTGTGGCATATGAACTTATTAACGGAACTCAGGATCACGAACCAAGATCTGTTTCTGAATGTCAAAATAGGCACGAGTGGATCAAATGGAAAGATGTTATTCATGTTGAGTTAAATTCGCTTAATAAGCGTAAATTTTTTGGACCTATTGTCTTAATGCCTGAAGCCGTGAGACCTATGGGATACAAATAGATTTTTGTGCGAGAACGCAATGAGAAAAATAAAATTGTAAAGTATAAAGCTCGACTTGCTGCACAAGGTTTTCATAAAGGCCCGAGATTGATTATGAGGAAACTTATTCTCCTATAATGTATGCAATTACGTTCAGATATTTAATCAGCCTAACAGTTTCTGAAAATTTAGAGATGTGTCTTATGGATGTTGTTACAGCTTATTTATATGAATCGCTTGATAGTTATATTTATATGAAAATTTCTGATGGATTTAAGATGCCTGAAGCACTTAATTCAAAACCTAAAGATATATGTTCGATTAAGTTTCAAAGATCAGTATATGGGTTGAAGCAATTTGGACGCATGTGGTATAATCGCTTAAGCAAAAATTTGTCAAAAGAAAGATATGTGAATAATCACATATGCCCATGTGTTTTTATTAAGATAACAACATCTGGTTTTGTTATAATCGCTGTCAATGTCGATGATTTGAACATCATTGGAACTCATAAAAAAATTCAAGAAGCTATGATATACTTAAAATATGAATTTGAAATGAAAGACCTTGGAAAAATAAAATATTGTCTTGGTTTACAGATTGAGCACCTTTAAAATGGAATACTTGTGCATCAATCAAACTATACTAAAAAGGTCTTAAAACATTTTAATATGGATAAAGCAAACCCTTTAACTACTCCAATGATTGTTAGATCACTTAATGTTGAAAATGATCTATTTCGCCCTTGCAAAGGTAATGAAGAAGTCTCCTGTCCTGAAGTACCATATTTAAGTGCAATAGGAGCTCTTATGTATCTTGCTAATTATACCCAATCAGATATAGCATTTACTTTTAATCTATTAGCAAGATTTAGCTCATCACCTACACGAAGACATTGGAACAGAATTAAGCATATATTCCATTATCTTCAAGAAACATTTGATTTGGGATTATTTTATCCTAAAGGATCAAAACAATGGATGATTGGTTTTGTAGATGGAAGATATTTGTCTTATCCATATAAATACAAGTCTCAAATTGGATACGCGTT